AATATTTTCCATTTTAGTTTTTATATCTGAAATAAAAAAATATGTTAATGATATTAATGCAATGACATCTGTACTATTTTTGACTTGGCTCAAACTCTAATACAAATTCTTTATGAAACCATAGTAATCTATTAATTGGTTGATTTTGAATGTTTAATTTCAGTTATTATATTTTAACATGATCAACAAAATAGTAGGTATAAATTAAAGTATAATTGTAAGAAGCTTGACTTAAGCAAGCTATCTATATTTTTGAGATAAACCTGTCAATCACATTTCATGTTTACTTAATGGATATTCATGTTTTATTATCATTAAGTACCACAGGTACAGAATTTTATCRATTACATTTTAATTTAGCTATAGATTTATTAATCTACCATGAATAAATATTTTTGTAGTAACTAATTAATGGGTAGGTATGATATACTACTAATTTTATTATAAACCATTTCTATCATTACGGTATTATTGTTTTATGAATGAAGAATATGGATAATCAAAACCATCATCAATCTTCAGTGAAAAAACGTTCCATTGACGATATCATAAACAACATAACATCAGATCTTCAAAGTTATGAAGGTCGTTATATGGTGTTGGGTAACCCGAGACAATCGACTGATATGATGTGGCAACAAGTGAATAACTATGCAAATCCTCCTCAGCCACAACATAATATTTATAACCAAGAACCAATGAATTTGACTAATAGCAACCCGTACATATTAAATAATAATCAGTATACTCCATTTATGCAACCTCAGAATTCAATACCAGGATATGTTAACTATGATCATCAAGTATATCCACAACAGCATCATCCTCATCATCTTCAGCACCATCAGCAACAGCAACAACATCAACAACATCAACAGCAACAACATCAACAGCAGCAGCAGCAGCAGCAACAACTACAACAACAACAACAACAACAACAGCGACCACAACATCAACAAACCTCTCAGCAGCAGCAACAAATGAACTATACATACTATCAACAGTCACAATATACTTCTCATCCCATGTCATACCAGACTCCTACATATGGTCTTTTTGATGGACCTTGTAATGATGCACTAATTGAAAACCTTGTTCAAAGTTGGAGCCAAACTCAAAGCAATGGTGGGGTATTTAGCCCTTTTGGAGATCAAGCATTCCAGACATCGAGAGAAATTGTGCCTGAACAAGATATTAATGTTCTTAACCACAACACAATACCTAACCACAAAAATATTGCCACACCAGTTAGAAAGGTTAGAATGGTAGCAGAAGTGCGTCCAATGCGACCAAGTTATTCTGATGTTTTAGCTAAGTCTCCTGCTATAGGACCAGTAAAAAAGACGGCAGCTAGTACACAAGTAGAAACTTCTTCAGATGTTAAAACTTCGTCAAAAGTAAAAACCACTATCAAGAAAAAAAAGAATTCTGCTAAGGTAGGTCAAGGAGAATCTGGGTTAAGAAGACAAAATTCATCTGCGAGTAGTGAAGAGCGCAACACTCCTACAGTTGAATATAAAGAAGATAAAAAGTCTGAAATAATAATCAACGGAAATGAAAAGGTTTGGACATCATCAGAAGACTTGAACGGATCAGAATATTTTGAAGCTGATGAGAATGCATATAGTAATATTTTGGTTCCAAAGTCTAAAGAAAATAATAAAAAAGATAAAACGAAAGTTAAACCTAAAGTGGCAACTATTCCACTGACAAAAAGCAGTTTAGGTAAAATAAAAATGTATGGTAAATCATATCAGATCTTGTAAAATTGTTATTTTTTGTAGGTCATACTGTAAAGCCTCTTAAAGATGATGTTGAAAAACTCAAGTCCAAGAAAATTATTCAACCAAGTTGTGCGAATGGTGTTATTAAAAAAGACAAGTTAAATTATGACTCAAAGAAACATAATGAATCAAATAGTATGTTAATATTTTTTAAAGTTATTTTCGATTATAAAATTGTATTTAAAAAATAATTCCCCATAGATGTTAATACAACAACAAAATTTGATGAAAATGAAAAACCTTCAACCAAAATGTCTTCAAATGTATCCCAATCACAACAGACTGCAGCAACTAGTAAAAATCAGGGTTCTCGTAGTACTGCCACATTCACAGCACTACCATTTAAAGCAAGATATCAACGTGTAACTAAGAAGCGACCACGTAGCTCTGCCATCAATACAATGAGTATGTTAAATTAAATACAACGATGTTTGGCTGTATTTAAAACTAATCATGTTGATATTTTCAGTAACTAAACATTTGAACTTTTTAAAAACTCAGCTTGTTCAATATGCTCCATTAATGGTCTTCTGGTTTGTTCATCTATTATGGGATGTTATTACCATGAGTTTACATTTACTTTTACATTTGTGAGTAAACTACTATTTAGCTCTAAAATCAAGTTCTAAGTCACTTTTATATGATCTATGAAAAATATGACCAATGCAAGTAATTTGACTTGTAGAACATAGTAAAAAATAAACTAAAGAACACTACATACCTGTTATGGGACAGTTTGTACTAATTTAATATAGTAGGTAGGTAGTTAAAAAATATTAAACTCAGTAATTTGAAATTMAATTGTATGGATTACATGTTTGCTCATTCATAAATAGGGTTGCTTTAGTAAGCAGAAACAWCAAACTTTATATAATTTTTATGGGAAAATTATATATTGATTTAAATTTTTTTAGAAAATTTGATTTTCAACGGTTTTTAATTGTATTAAATTTGGTTTTTACATTTTGCTAGGATGCCACATAGCCGCTGCTCACAATTGTTTTTCATATGCAATGATTTTCCATAGAATTCAAATCTAACTCTTCCATTACAATGATATACTTGATAACTACTGTCAGAATTTCAGTACTTGCTTTTCTTCTTATTTTTTTTTAGAAAATCCATAAATATGAGATTATTTCGATAAATAAAAACAAAATTAAGTTAAAGAATTTTAGTTTTGCAGTCTATATTTTTAGCTTGCTAAACTAAGTGTCTGTATTCTAAATTTTTATAGTAGGCATTAGGCATAGGTTATCTATAAGTGACTGTTGACCATAAAATACATTTATTTAATATCTAATAACCAATATTATATGTTTTAAATTATTATTTAGATCTGCATCAGGTATTACTCAACTAGCCGATTTTAGTAAAAATTGTTGGAAGCATTTTTGGATTGGATTGAGCTCTCCGTTTACAGGTGCATCACATTGGGCTCGAGTCAAATGGAAAGATCAGAATTCAGGTAACACTCTGCAAACAAATATTCCACTACCTACTACTGGTGAAGAAGCACTTAAAAGGCTACTTGCTTGCAAAGGAAAAGATCCATACAGGTAATTACAGTAATCTAGAATGAATTATTTCAGTATATCATGTGATAACCCAACTCAAGCATTTAAAATATAATCTACATTTAACATAATATGTACTTTAGTATTTTGGGTGTGACTGTTGATTMATCAGAAGATGATATAAAGAAGTATTACAAAAGACAAGCTGTCCTTGTTCACCCAGACAAAAACAATCAGTCGGGAGCTGAAGAAGCTTTTAAAATTTTAATTCATGCTTTCAACATGATTGGTGATCCAGTGAGTTGTTTTTATTTATGGAATACACTGAAAAAAATAATGTTTTTATTTTGTGCTTTTATTAATCATATTTTATTCTTTTATATTTATAGGAGAAACGTAAACTCTATGATAGTGGTATTGAGCATATTAAAGAAAACTACGACGAACTAAACAAATTGTTGAAAAATCTTCATGAAAAAATGGCACAAGTTGCAAATACAATTAGGTATTTAAAAAATAATTACATTTGAAAATTAATTTTTGGTAGAAGACATTCAAAATTCATTAAACTTAAGTTCTATCATAGTGTAAAAGTAAATTTCCTTAATTTTAATTTATTTATTACTAGATTAGTAACATTTATTAAGGTTTATCAGATTAAATATTTTTTATTATAATTTATATATTATATTTATGTTATCTGATTAATTATGTTTTTTCAGGTGTACTAGCTGTGGTAAACGGCACAAAAGGAAACTGGTATTGTGTCGGCCAATGTACGCTGCRCGCTTTTGTGCATTGTGCAATGTACATCATTCCGCTCGTGATGGTGACATATGGTCAGAAAGTAGTTTGTTTGGTTTGCGCTGGAAGTACTTTGGATGTATGGATGGTGGAGTATATGACATCACTGAATGGGCCACTTGTCAGCACGGTAGTTTGAAGCACATGCGAGCAGATACTCATTCTGTACAGTACAGGATAATATTTGGTGGCAAACAACAAACTCCAGAGCCAACGGTTTCCCCATCGCCACCCTCACAACCCAGAACACAAGCACCGCCACCACCTTCAACGCCCTTATTTGAGTATGTATCATAAAATAAACTATTGAAGAGTAGAATAATTCATGACAAAACCATTTTTTTTTTTGCTTGCAGTTTTCATCAACCACATCTAGATGAATTCTTGAGTTCATTTTATCAACATCCAGTGCCGGGTTCTGCAACCAATGGTGAATTTGGAACCACAACTGACATTCCTCGGCAACGCACTAAAAACAAAAGAAAAAAATAGAAAATGATCTTCCTTGAATTTGCACTTTTAAGTATAATATGTTTTTCATTTTCGAAAAAAGCAATTTCAAAATAAGTATCTTATTTAGACTAATATCTAATAACTCGTACAGATTGCAATATTTTGTTTGTATTTTGATTTTAATTTACATTTTAAACAACTTATCACTTGTACTTTTATATATAAGTACATTGGCGATTTACACTGTTTTTCATTATCATTATCATTGTCATCACCATCATATTTATGTATGAACAAATACGCCTCTCAAAACAAGTGATATATTTTTTTAATATTTATGATTAGTGTTTAATTAATTTACTACATAACATTAACATCTGTTTGTCATATATTGCTATAYGGCTTAACTTTAAATTAACCTTAATATTAACACTCAGTGTTTTTATATATCATTTCTGTTCAAAACTGTTTTCTTACTAAAACCCTAAGTTTAAAAWAAAAAGAATTCATTTATTCATTAAGAATTCTCTTTTGTACAATAGTTTAAAATTTCTATTTCCCTCTTATTTTTTACGTTTTAGACTTTTAGCGTTTAACCCACACAATTTATTATCAGTTCAACATTATTATTTATGTATACCTCAAATGCAGAAATGTCAATTTTGTGAACTTTATAATGTAATAACAATAAATACATTTCTGTCTGAAAATTAATTCAGTATTAAAGTATTTGATGTTAATTTATTGTTTCAAATCCTCTTCATTGCCCAGTATTGTAAAGAATACTTTGAAAATGTAATCAAATAAATTTTTCAAAAGTATTTAAAATTGTATTTTGGTGTTAATTCTCTCATTGATTAAAAATAATATTTACAATCAATGATTCTGTTTATTGTTTTGCACTAGTAACCTAGTTACTTYAGTWAATATTCTAGCCTGATATAATTWTTAATTTAAATTTTATTTATAGTTCATTATTGCAAAACATTTGTTACGTCACGATTTTGTTTTTTATTTAAGAATATTTTATAACCTCGATTTCTTTGATTCTTGTACCTTCTATAAATAAGGTGTTAAACTAATTATAATACTAAAATCAAACCGAAATAAATTATGTAAAGAAGTGCTAAGTATAATGCCAACTTGKAGTAAAATTACAAATATGCACAGAAATATTCAAAATGTTTCGCACTTATATGTAAATTGCAGATATTGGTGAAAACCAAGGGGAAAAAATGATAAATTACACCACTAGAACATAATATAAAAATGGTTTTTCCATTTCTTCTCTTGTTAGGTGGATTAAATTTGTCCACCAGTCTCA